GGGTAGGTCTCTCTGATGTCCCTTTGCCTTTTAAATTGCTCCCACACCTCAGCAGCTATTAAATGCCTTTGATAACTAAATGCACGGTAAATCGAGCCTCTCTCATGTAGGACACAGACAGTAAAACCTGCAGTGAATCCCAAAGCAATCAGAGGAAAAGGTAGGAAGCACAGTCACCCACAGATCTGCATTAATCTTTTGCAATAACCATTTCCATCAGCAGAAAAAAAGTGCCAAGTCTTAGTTTTATCACTGAAACAGCTACTTAACAGGATTTCTCAAACAATCTACCTAGACTGAAGATGAGTGAAAATCTTACTTCAGCAGAGTGCTTGGCCATGATAATAATTAAGTATAGAAAACACTGGGGGCTCGTCCTCCAGGGCTGGATTTTCAATCTCATCTCAAAACTTTTAAGGAAAGAACACCAAGAAGGAAGGAGATAGAAAAGAGCAGCTGTTACCAAGGGGAAAACAGTAAGATAAACCTGACTAATGTAATATTCTACAAACCTTTGGGGGCAGCTCTAAAAATACATATTTGATATCACTCCAGTAGGTAAAAAGTATGAAATATCCAACCAAAGGAAAATGGTTAAATAAAATATGGCAGACCCACATAACGAGGTGCTCTGCGACCACCAGAAAATCATATACAACATGATACCATTTTGTAAATAATTCTGTACATGGAAAAACGAAGGCAAGGACATAAAAAATGTTAGGAGTTATAACCTCTGGGAACTGAGATTTCTGCTTTAATTTTTACTTTTACTTTTATTTTCTACAATGAACACATATCATTTACAACACATTTACTACTTCTATAATAAGAAAAACCCAATGCTTCCAAAAGCTATTTCTAGAAACCTACTGAGGATGCCCCATTGCTCATGGGACAAGATCCAAACTCACTCCACATAGCCCTCAAGGCCTTCATGTGTCCCTGGACCTGATTCTCAGACCCAGATGAGATTCTCTGACCCCAGGAAACACACAGCACAAAATTCTTCCGAGGTGGTTGAGAGAATCAAACCTAACATGCCATGACTAAAGCAAATCAGTTCTCAATTACTCAAAAAGCTGAACAAACCCTGAGCTCTGTCCAGGGAGCCTAGCATAAAATATTCCCCAATATGGGGTGAGAAAGCTTCTCTATACTTGTCCCAGACTAGGAAATCCTCAGGGGCTGGATTTCCTCACACGTTTTAGTTAATAAACCAGAGAGGTGGTTTTGTGTCGATAAAAAAGGTCAGAAATCCTTTCTTCTGGTCTGTCCAGCCACCAGCCTAACAGGTGGTATAGACCTCACCAGGGGTCTGCTCAATGCACCATGCAGCACAAATGCCTGCAGTCAGGTTTCGGGCTCTGGGTTCCTTCTACTACATCAGGCTCCTTTCTGCTGAGCCAATAGACTCCAAAGTCATTCACTAGCCCTCTCTCAAAACATCCTTCCGTCTCACTGATCACAGGCACATATAAAATACTCAGCTTGAGTGGGACAGACACCATAAATGAAGCCGAGAGTGACAGCAGCAGAGCGGAGTTTTCCCTGTTGTTCATACGCATGCACAGCAGGATGCTGCTGTACCACGTGCCCCATGATACAGAACAAGACCACTTTTTAATTGCACCCTTCCCTCTTCTTTCAGGAAAGGCATTCCCAAAAGTGCATCTTCTAGATTTCTACTAGCTCAAGTGAAATAGGAAGGTCTTGGCTCTACCGTGTTCTTGGTTCTACGTGACCACGGCAGCAGCTTTACGTCCACCACCCACCTTCAGCCAGAGCTGGGGAATTGCTGCCCTGGTGCCAAAGAGCCACAGCTCTGGGCTTGGGCACCATCGGCAGGACCTACTTGATCTTCTTCTCCGTGAGCTGCTCCAGGGCGGAGTGGCAGTCGTCCATCTCTTTCACAAACTCGAGGTTCCTCTTCTCAGCTTTCTCTAGATCCTTCCTTGCCTTGTCTCGCTCCCTTACCATCTGTTCCACTTGCCCCCTGCCGTATGCAGAGAGGAGACAGCGTTAATGAAGAACATGCTCTGGGCCCAGTGAGCCCTGTGTCTGCATGAATGATAAAAAGGGGCAGCATCTGCTGGGTGCAGGGCATGGGCCAGTGTCGTGCTCTAACCTCACGCTCCTAAGGCAGTTTCTAGAATTACTATGACCATTTTACAGATGTACATACCGAGAGAAGGTTAAACAACTTGCTAAGGAAAGCTTCTAGGTTTCTGAACCAAGGAAGTTGAGCGTAGAGGCTTACAGTGTGCCATACCTCCAGACAGCCCCAGAACAGGCAAGAATTTATCTGTGCAGCCTCTAGTCTCTAGTTGGGACTTGGGCCCCAGGGTTTCCCAGCACCTAATCCAGGACTGGAAACATGAGGGGAGAAGGCTGGCCATCCAATATCCTACCTGGTCACAGCCCTGACACCTGCAGCCTGGCATCTGGGTGAGCACAAGGTGAGTCACCCAGAGCAGAAGGCCACCTGTGTGTGTGGCCCTGGCTCTGTCCATTCACCCCAGATCCCCCTGGAGTCTTTCAAATCAACTTTAGCACTCACTATTCTAGTGACCATTTCTCCTACTGAAGGTGCAGTGACCTTTCTCCCTTCCCCTCGCTCAAGGCAGTCTTTCTCTGCTCCCATTTTCAGAGCTGCCTGAGGTCTGAAAGCTCATCTGTTAGCACCTAATGAGATACAAAGTCTTAAGGATGGAAATTGTGATTTCTACCAACCTTTTCTACAGCTTTGGAACATCAATAAAAATACAAAAATAATCTTTGTGCCAATCTGCCAAGCAGATGAACAGCTTGAATACTCAGTTAAACCAAAGCTGACCCCAATTAAAGTGGAATGTATTCTTGGCCCAACTGTCACTTTGCGCTTGGTGACCACATCTGAAGAAAACTTCCTTTTCCTCTCTAGCCAGCCACCTAACCTTGGGAGCCCTCTGGCTGTTCTTGGAATCACATCCCACAGACTGGAGGGTTTCTACCTCTGCCTTGAGCTCCAGCATCAGCAGGATGAGTATCAAGTTCAAATCTTTCTCTTTGGAATCTTGCTAAAAGGAACAAAGGGAGGATCTTGACACAGATTTCTAAGCTTCTTACAAAATGGGAGGGAAGGCCAATGACCCTTAAATTGTGGCCA